GTGATGGGGTGCTAATGAGTTTGTGGGTGGGGCAGCGGGTGGTCAGTTAATCTCACCCTTTGTCCCCCAGGCACGTGGACGAGCCACCGCGGGAACCCCTCCCTCTGGACGCTTTCGGCCGCCCCATCCTTCCCCCCGCTGGGGAAGGACCTTACCACAGACGTCCTCTGGAGGGGCGCGACAGAGATGGACCTACCTTTGGAGCCCCTCTCCACCGCCCCTCTTCTGAGGAACGGTCGCGGGATGGAAGGCCCTTTGGGGACCCTTACCGAGGGCGGGGCGAAGGTCCCCTCTACCGCGACGGTCGGGACCTTTACCGCGATGGTCCCGACCATCGGGCCGGGATGCCCGATGATCGGGATGGGAACAGAAATTTCCCCTCCAGCGACCCTCTTCCTGCGCGAGGAGGTCCTCATCACGGACGAGGGGGCCTGGACAGAGACCCTCACTTTGGACGAGGGGACAGAGATACCTACTCTAGACGGGGGGGTTCAGAGAGGGAGCCGTCCCATGGCAGGTCTCGTGACAGAGACGACAGAGAAACAAGACGTGTCTCTGAGCGACAGGACAAACCCCAGGAGCTGTGAGTGTGGCCATGCTGCTCTGGGGTCTGACCCTCTGGGCATGACTAATGGGTCGGTCAAACCCTCTGAGCTTAACTTGCGGGTCAAACCCTCTGAGCTTAACTTATGGGGCAAACCCTCTGAGCTTAACTTGCAGGTCAAACCCTCTGAGCTTAACTTGCAGGTCAAACCCTCTGAGCTTAACTTGCAGGTCAAACCCTCTGAGCTTAACTTGCAGGTCAAACCCTCTGAGCTTAACTTGCAGGTCAAACCCTCTGAGCTTAACTTGCAGGTCAAACCCTCTGAGCTTAACTTGCAGGTCAAACCCTCTGAGCTTAACTTGCAGGTCAAACCCTCTGAGCTTAACTTGCAGGTCAAACCCTCTGAGCTTAACTTGCAGGTCAAACCCTCTGAGCTTAACTTGCAGGTCAAACCCTCTGAGCTTAACTTGCAGGTCAAACCCTCTGAGCTTAACTTGCAGGTCAAACCCTCTGAGCTTAACTTGCAGGTCAAACCCTCTGAGCTTAACTTGCAGGTCAAACCCTCTGAGCTTAACTTGCAGGTCAAACCCTCTGAGCTTAACTTGCAGGTCAAACCCTCTGAGCTTAACTTGCAGGTCAAACCCTCTGAGCTTAACTTGCAGGTCAAACCCTCTGAGCTTAACTTGCAGGTCAAACCCTCTGAGCTTAACTTGCAGGTCAAACCCTCTGAGCTTAACTTGCAGGTCAAACCCTCTGAGCTTAACTTGCAGGNAGTACCCCCATGTACCCCAGTACCCCCATGTACCCCAGTACCCCCATGTACCCCAGTACCCCCATGTACCCCTGTCTCTTATACACATCTAGATGTGTATAAGAGACAGCGCGTATCCTGTGTCTGGACGACTACTTCATGGTGGAGAGCGAGACGACGGAGGTGGAGAGCGACACGGGCCGCAAGTTTAAGACCAAGGTGTGAACACGCAGCTAACTGTCAAGATTTATTTATATACATGACATAATAATAAGAATAACTTGCATTATTAGCGTAAATGGCATAATAATGAAGAATAAATGATATAATGATGACAAGATGTGCGCAAGTTTAAGACCAAGGTGCACATACAGCTAACTGTGAAGAATGATTAGCGTAAATGGTATAATAATGAAGAATAAATGGCATAATAATGGGATGATATAATGATGGATATAAAAACGGGAAGCAAGGTTAAGAGCAAGGTGCACACACACAGCTAACTGTGAAGATTTATTTATATACATGGCATAATAATAAAGAATAAATTATTTTATGATGGCAAGATGTATTTAAGTTTTAAGTTAAGTTTAAGTTTCAAGTTAAGTTTAAGATCAAGGTGCACACACAGCTAACTGTCAAGATTTATTAGCATTAATGGCATAATAATAAATAATAGCTGGCATAATGATGAACATGAAAGTATGGCCTTTCCTCCTGTGAGTTGCGGGTTCCCAAATAAAGAAAAAGCTTCCACACGATGCATCATAAATTATTATTACTATTTTTAATTATTAATAGATATATTATTATATATAGATTATTATAGATATTATTTACCGATATACAGATAATAGATATATAATAATATATAGATATAAACATTATTTAGATAGGGGGTATATTAATAATAATAACAATAATATAACCCTATATAATAATATAGGGAAGTATATTATTATCGATATAAATTAATTAATATTNTACTGCATGAGTGGCAGGGAGAATGAGTCGCTCTGCATGAGTGGCAGGGAGAATGAGTCGCTCTGCATGAGTGGCAGGGAGAATGAGTCGCTCTGCATGAGTGGCAGGGAGAATGAGTCGCTCTGCATGAGTGGCAGGGAGAATGAGTCGCTCTGCATGAGTGGCAGGGAGAATGAGTCGCTCTGCATGAGTGGCAGGGAGAATGAGTCGCTCTGCATGAGTGGCAGGGAGAATGAGTCGCTCTGCATGAGTGGCAGGGAGAATGAGTCGCTCTGCATGAGTGGCAGGGAGAATGAGTCGCTCTGCATGAGTGGCAGGGAGAATGAGTCGCTCTGCATGAGTGGCAGGGAGAATGAGTCGCTCTGCATGAGTGGCAGGGAGAATGAGTCGCTCTGCATGAGTGGCAGGGAGAATGAGTCGCTCTGCATGAGTGGCAGGGAGAATGAGTCGCTCTGCATGAGTGGCAGGGAGAATGAGTCGCTCTGCATGAGTGGCAGGGAGAATGAGTCGCTCTGCATGAGTGGCAGGGAGAATGAGTCGCTCTGCATGAGTGGCAGGGAGAATGAGTCGCTCTGCATGAGTGGCAGGGAGAATGAGTCGCTCTGCATGAGTGGCAGGGAGAATGAGTCGCTCTGCATGAGTGGCAGGGAGAATGAGTCGCTCTGCATGAGTGGCAGGGAGAATGAGTCGCTCTGCATGAGTGGCAGGGAGAATGAGTCGCTCTGCATGAGTGGCAGGGAGAATGAGTCGCTCTGCATGAGTGGCAGGGAGAATGAGTCGCTCTGCATGAGTGGCAGGGAGAATGAGTCGCTCTGCATGAGTGGCAGGGAGAATGAGTCGCTCTGCATGAGTGGCAGGGAGAATGAGTCGCTCTGCATGAGTGGCAGGGAGAATGGACGCGCCTCAACAATAACAAACTCCGACAAATTAAAGAGAGTGTAAGGCCTTTGCGTGTGCCTCACCCGCCTTCGCATTGGACACACCAGAATCACTCATAAACTCCTCATGCAACACCCCTAACAAAATTTAGAGTCGCCCCAGCTTCTGGTAATCCAAATCAGAAGCTGCCGCGTTCATAAATTTTTACTGGGTCTTGCCTGCACCTTATTGTATGGATAGCCTATTGCCCCAGACCGTGACCCAGTTCCTCTGCGAGTGCCCGTCTTTTTGTGATGTTCGACGGCAATTCTTCCCTCACCTATATGGAAATGACCCCAACACGCCTGAAAATTATCCTGGCCCAAACCCAACACGGCCATTATAATGTCGACCGGCTTGTAGAATACCTCAGGGCAATAGATATGTTCAATAGTATATATCCTGGTATGTGATATACCCCCAATGGAGATGATGTACCATGTAACATGTGATGTACCCAGTACAGATGATGTACCATATAACATGAGATGTACTCCAATCTCACTTTACCCCCATGTACCTCAGTACCACCATGTACCCCAGTACCCCCATGTACCCCATTACCACCATGTACCCCATTACCACCATGTACCCCAGTACCCCCATCCCCAGTACCCCCATGTGCCCCAGGTGTACGTGTGTGACGTGGAGGCAGGTACCCCCGAGGAGTGCCACACCCGCAGCACCCACAAGCGCCCGCTGGCCCACGTGCAGCGCATGGCCCGCTTCTGGGAGCCCACCCCGCCCCACCTGCACCGCCTCATCCTGCCCACCCCGCCCACCGGCACACTCCATGTGAGTCCTGTTTTATTTACTTTATATATGTGAATATATTTAAGTTAAACTTATCTGTACTATTTACCTCATTACTATCGTTCATATCTATATAGGGTTCGTACTGGTCATGGAAAACCTGGAAAGTCATGGAATTTGAATTTTCATTTTCCAGGCGTGGAAAGTCATGGAATTTGCCAATAAAAGAAGAAGAAAAGGAACTGTTTTTTTGTGCTGCAAGTGTTAAACTGTTTGTGCAGTCTCTTGTTTCCTGTGTTTGCTATTTATTTACACGTTTGCTATTTATCAACTGTAGGAGATGATAGAATATGCTTGGTCAGTCTTTCAGTCATGCTAAACCTGTCGTAAACAAGTCTTAGAAAATTATATTGATGATCATGGAAAGTCATGGAATTTGTTTCTAAATACCGGTATGAACCCTGTCTATATGTTTTATTACAATTCATTTACCTACTATAGTTTTTTTATTAATATTCATTTTTTTATTTCTAATACGTTGAATTTACATATACGTTATTACATATACAATAGTTAATAATGAGCATGTTAATAGTATTACTTTGTGTTGATCTATAATGATAATATAAATATATTTGGTGCAGGACACCACGGACACAGCGGGGCTCAACAAACCCTTGAAGGGGTTAAATAAAGAGGAACCCCCAAAGAAGAACCCCCCAGCTAAAACTAGCAATGACAGCAAAAATTCCCCCATGACTCCCACAACAACAAAGGCTGGTGCCTCCCCCGTACAGGGAGTTGGGGAGGATAGTCAAGTGGACAACAAGAATGAAACTCCCCCAACTGATGGGGAAAACAAACCCTCAGATCCCCCTGCAAGTGGGGAACACAAGACTGGGGAAGAAGTTGAAGATAATTCTAATAAGAACAGCAATAATAAAAATGAGCAGAAGAAGAATGATGATGAAGATGAGGATGATGCGTACAAGGTAGGTGATGAGTATGACAGCTGCGGGTGGTGAGTAGTTCTGTGCTGCATGACTCGTGTGTCTTCTCTTCACCGGTGAGTAACTTATTATTAACTGAACACTCCGTATAATAGTTGGGTCTTATAGTCTAAATAGTGAGACATCATCAGCGCACAGTACTAGTATGAGTAACTTATTATTAACTAAACTATAATGGTTGGGTCTTATTATACAAATAGTGAGACATCATCAGTGCGCAGTACTAGTATAAGTAACGTACGTGTTATTAACTAAACACTCTTTTAAATGGTTGGGTCGTTTCGTCTAGATAGTGAGCGTCTCAGCGCACAGTACTAATATGTGTTACCTAATCAAGATTGAGTACGGAATGGGGAAAAAAGTACATCACTGACACATTCCAGCGCGCAGTAATAGTATAAGTAATGTATTCTTAACTAAACACTCCGTATAATTTATTATTCTCTAAATAGTTGTATTCTCTAAATAGTGAGACATCAGTGCGCAGTACTAATACATTTAATAAACTCAAAGTTAATCATGAACAGTCAGTATAATGGCTGGGTCTTATTGTCCAAATAGTGACCCATTTTCAGCGCGCAGTACTAATTTGATATAAAAAACTTGAGATTACCTACAGAATGGGGAAAAGTACATCACCATTTGAACAAAGTCTCGCTTACTTCTCTTGGTAAATGCTAGCAATAGGGCAGCAATTTGTTGGTTATTCCTACATAGAAAGCAATGGAATTTTTATACATTTTTTTATTTTAGAGAAGTGAATGCATAGAAATCTTAGCTAATGTTAGTTTGATGAAATTATATGGAAATGATTGCGTTGTTCAAGATGGGAAGCTGAATTTGTATGTGGGCCAAGGAGCAGAACAACCTTCCCTTTATTGGTGCCAGGGAGTGGGACAACCTTCCCTGTATTGGGGCCAGGGAGCGGGACAACCTTCCCTTTATTGGTGCCAGGGAGCGGGACAACCTTCCCTTTATTGGTGCCAGGGAGTGGGACAACCTTCCCTTTATTGGTGCCAGGGAGCGGGACAACCTTCCCTTTATTGGGGCCAGGGAGCAGGACAATCTTCCCTGTATTGGGGCCAGGGAGCGGGACAATCTTCCCTGTATTGGGGCCAGGGAGCAGGACAATCTTCCCTTTATTGGGGCCAGGGAGCAGGACAACCTTCCCTGTATTGGGGCCAGGGAGCAGGACAACCTTTTCTCTTTTTTGGCCAGGGAGCGGGCCTTTTTAGCGCATTTTCTCATTTTTGGAAAAAATGCACTATTGTGCTTGCCATGTCCGTTGGTCCATCCGTGACTCCACGTTTTTGTTGACGAGAAAATGCGCTCTCTGTCACTCACTGCAGTGAGTACTGAGTTATATTTTTTAATTTTCTTTCATATCAAGACGCTGGTCTGAAAAAGCTTTTAGTTTTTTCCTGGGTTAAAAAATAGTTTTCTGTGTGGGCAGCTTAGGTTTAATGGTTTTTATTTATAGTTCATAAGAACAATGAGGGCCATATGACCATAAAATGTATTACAATGTATTCTGGAAACTATGCATTGTTCTCAACAGCA